TTTAAGGAAGGATGTCTGCATATCATAAAAGTGCAAGGTGAAGCAGCAGGTGCTGATGTAGAAGCTGTGGCAAGTTATCCAGGAGATCTAGCTAAGATAATTAACGAAGGTGGCTACACCAAACAACAGATTTTCAATGTAGATGAAACAGCCTTATATTGGAAGAAGATGCCAGCTAGGACTTTCATAGCTAGAGAAGAGAAGTCAACACCTAGCTTCAAAGTTTCAAAGGACAAAGCTTTGTTAGAGGCTAAGGCAGCTGGTGACTTTAAGTTGAAGCCAATGCTCATTTACCATTCTGAAAATCCTAAGGCCCTTAAGAATTACGCTAAATCTACTCTGCCTATGCTCTATAAATGGAACAACAAAGCTTGAATGACAGCACATCTGTTGACAACATGGTTTACTGACTATTTTAAGCCCACGGTTGAGACCTACTGCTCAGAAAGAAAGATTCCTTTCAAAATATTAATGCCCGTTGACAACGTACCTGGTTACCCAAGAGCTCTGATGGAGATGTACAATGAGAAGAATGTTTTCATGCCTGCTAACACAATGTTATTCTGCAGCCCATGAATTACTCAAGAACTTGTTTTGACTTTCAAGTCAGTATTTAACAAATAGATTTTGTAAGGCTATAGCTGCCATAGGCGGTGATTTCACTGATGGATCTGAGCAAAGTAAACTGGAAGCCTGCTGGAAAGGATTCACCATTCTAGATGCCATGAAAAACATTTGTGATTCATGGAAAGACATCAAAATATCGTTAACAAGAGTTTGGAAGAAGTTAATTCCAACCCTCATGGATGACTTTGAGGGGTTCAAGACTTCAGTAGAGGAAGTAATTGCAGATGTGGTGGAAATTACAAGAGAGCTAGAACTAGAAGTGGAGCCTGAAGAGGTGACTGAACTGCTGCAATCTCATGATAAGACTTCAACAAGCTAAGGAGTTGCTTCTTATGGATGAGCAAAGAAAAGTAGTTTCTTGAGATAGAATCTACTTCTGGTGAAGATGCTTTGAAGATTGTTGAAATGACAACAAAGGATTTTGAATTTACATAAACTTAGTTGATAAAGCAGCGGCAGAGTTTGCAAGGATTGACTCCAATTTTGAAAGAAGTTCTACTGTGGGTAAAATGCTATCCAACAGCATCACATATTACAGAGAAATCATTCATGAAAGGAAGAGTCAATTGATATGGCTAACTTCATTGTTGTCTTATTTAAGAAATTGTCACAGCCACCCCAGCCTTCAGCAACCACCACTCTGATCAGTCAACAGGCATCAACATCGAGGCAAGACCCTCCACTAGCAAAAGATTATGACAGGCCGAAGGCTCAGATGAGGGTTAGCATTTTTTAGCAATAAAGTATTTTTTTAATAAAGGTATGTACATTTTTTTAGACATAATTCTATCATACACTTAATAGACTATAGTGTAAACACAACTTTTATATGCACTGGGAAACCAAAAAATTCATTTGACTTGCTTTATTGCAATATTTTCTGTATTGCGGTGGTCTGGAAGTGAACCTACAATATCTCCGAGATATGCCTGTACTCTCTGGAAGCTTCTGGGATAACTTTAGCCCTCAGAATTCTCTCCTTCCTCCAAAATCTATAACATTTATTTGGTGCTAGAAAAAAAGTATAACGGAGTTAGCATGTGGCAGAGCAGGCTTTTTCAACCTTGGCACTATTGCCATTTAGGGCCGGATAATTCTTCATTGTTGAGTGCATCTCCTCTCCCCATGTGACAACCCAAATGTCTACACACATTGCCAAATGTCCCCTGAGGGACCAAATCACCTCTGGTTGACCACCACTGTTGAAGTGTGATCCCCACATATCAGGTAATGGACTAGACTCTGTACAGACTTTGCTCACAGTCATATCCTACTTTCCTCCCAATCTTCCTTTACTTCAGTTCACTCACCTATTTTTAACTTATTTTGTACTGCATCTTTACCTTTGTAAAGCACTTCAAACCTTTTTTTCACAAGGCAGCAAATCTATAAAGACTCAGTGCTTCTTTCAAACCTGCCACAACCCTTGAAAGTAGGTATTAGCATCATCTTTTAACAGGCGAACACTGAGGACTGGAGATCTGTTTGGTAACTGAACTAAGGTCCAAATAACAAACTTTGGAGGAGGAAAGACTGATCCCCAAGTCCATGCGCTTTTCAGGGCAAAACACTGTTTTGTTTACTTTCTCTCCATAGACTCATCCTTGTTATTCAACTGAATTTTAGCCTGCAGAACTGGGATTTTGTCCACACAAAACACATTGTGTCTTGGGAATATTGTGCATTTCTTATGATGGCAGAGGAATAGTTATCAAAAGGAAAAATAGGCTTTTCTTTTAGCTTTCCAGAAACCCCACAAAGGAGAGAATGGGGGTTTAAAAATCTGATACTAAAAGCATTCATTTTCTATCATTTATGTTACACTACACTGAAACTATTCAATACTTTTGAAGGTTCAGAAAATACATTACAGGAAAAACATAAATCATCTCAATGATTACTTTAATGCAAAACCTCAGCTTCATGGCATTTTCCTGATTTCCTCAGAGGAAGGCTATTTCTTGATTGCTAGGATTTCAATCTCTTTAGACCTTTTGCATTAGAGGAAGGAAGAAGTCTGCTTTTTTTCCTCAACTTGGGAAATCTGGAGTGTATCACACTCTTTCCCCATTCAACTACCTATAGAATTGAATTTCAAAAAACAAATTGCCTTTTAGGACAGAAAGTTCAAAATCAAAGTATTGCATCAGCATCATGTCCTCAAAATCAGAAAAGGAGAGGTTAAATTTCTCACTTCTGCTAACTCTTAAAAAGCATTTGAAGAAAAGGGATCTTAATAAATGGACTTCTGAAAGGAAAAAGGAAGACACCAACAAAGGCATGTGTTGCATTTTCTGTCCAAGAGCTACTTTATCTCCAGCAATTTTGGTTTGCTGTCATCATGAGGACATTGTGTAGCATGGCCAGAATTTCTGCTGAGTTTCAATTATTTTTTTTATTTTTGTGAGGAAGATCAGCCCTGAGCTAACATCCATGCCAATCCTCCTCTTTTTGCTGAAGAAGACTGGCCCTGAGCTAACATCCATGTGGATCTTCCTCCACTTTATATGGGATACCGCCACAGCATGGCCTGACGAGCAGTGCATCGGTGCGCACCCAGGATCCGAACCCAGGCCACCAGCTGTGGAGCGCGTGCACTTAACCGCTACACCACGGGGCCAGCCCCAGGTTTCAATTATTTTACAGTTCAGGCAAATTCACACTTTCAGTCAGAACTACAGTTCAATGAAGTTAATATTTACAGCTAATAAAACTAAGGCCCAATGGCTAACTTGACCCACCACGGATACGATATACAATTTCAAGTCCATGCACTTCCCTTCAGAGCAGAAGAATTTGAAAGTTTAAAGCTCTGCATCTTGGTCAGGAAGTTTCTACCTAGCTTTAGACAAAAAATAAATCTTTACTGCAGTTAAGAAATATAAACATTAACCTCATCATAGTTAGAGGAAAACTGTCAAATGAAACCTTCCAAACACACGGCTGGGAGCTTAGAGCCGAGAATAGGATTTCTGGGAGCTGGAAAGGATCTTAGAAATGACTTTACAGAACAAGGTGAGGTTATTTGTCTCCCAACATTTAGATTTCTTTCTCCATTTTTCTTAATTGGGAGGCAGCAGGTAGAGTAGAAAGTTCTGGATACACTGGGCTCTAGATTTATCTTTATTAGCTGGAACCCCGGGCATGTTACTTCACCTCACAAGCCCATTTTTATTTTAATGACAGATGTGGACTAGATGACCTTCCAGCACTATTGTTAGTTTACCTTATCCTGACAGGAAAATCCTGAGTAGGAAAATGAAATTGTTACAACATTAGACTAACCTTAGTCATTTTTGCTTCAAAGTGACAGTGACTGTACAGTCAGTGGGGGCCTGATTTTCATCTCTGCTGTAGCCATCTAAACCTGATCGCCTCTCACACTTGTTCTTCTCTCCATAAAAGCAACAGCAGAAGAAGCGGTGCAGTGGGGGATGTGAAAACCTCTACACCAAAAAATCAAAATCATATCCCAAATTCAGTTTTTGAAGGTTTTTTCTGTGGGTTTCTTTGTGCCAATGTTCCTCTACTGGCTCTTTTCTCCCTTTCTAAAAAAACCCCTCTCATAGTAGGGTGGAGCTTGCTTATTAATAGTACATGTCTTAGCTGCTTCCCCATAGCAAAAGGTTATTTTACAATTTGAATTCAGAAAAGATGATCTGAATAACTAATATGTATATGGTCCTTACTGTGTTCCAAGCACTGCTCTACATACTTTGCATATATGAAGGCATTTCCCCCTCAGAGAAGTCTGTGAAGTAAGTACACCTATTCCTTACTTTCCAAATCTCTTCAGCTCCCGAGTTCAGTGGTTAGAGGTCAGATAGAGTTCAGCGAGCAAGTTTAGATGGCCAGGGGAACTTCATTATCTGCATTTACTTTACTTCAGCCACTTGGAATGGTAAAAGGCCTGATCTTAAATAAAACAAATGTGAAACAAAAGTGCAAATCCATTTGGTTCCTTTGTTGCAATGGCAAAAGTTTAGGGAGTGAGAGTTCAGACAGTGAGTGAAAACTACCCCATTATCTCCATTCCACAGGTGAGGAAACCGAAGCCCAGGAAGGGGAAGGAAACTGCCTAAGGTTTCTTGGCTAATAAGTGGCAAAGCCAGAAACCTTATCCAGGCACTAAGGCACCAGAGTCATTATCATGTTTGTGCTAGACCGCCCAGCTAAACTTTATTTTTCTTTGTGGCCTGTGGTATCATCCATGCATATTATCGCTACAGTTTTTCTGGGAATGTCTTTGGGGAGGTTAGCCAGAATCCCCATCCCATTTTTTCCAGAGCTCCATTTGTCAACAGACTGTGATTATATGTTCTATTAGCACCAATATAAACATAAACAAGTTTTAGGTAATGAAACTTGCTGCCTTTTGTACAGCTTAACAGTTTAATCATATGGCTTGAGGAACCACGATGTTCCATTTAGTCACCATCCTTAATGAATTTCATCACTGTGCATGAAATAGTGATCTTTCTGTTGTATAGAAATAGGAAAAGCAGACTCCTCCAGCAGACAAATGCAGGCTGAAGTGCAGTGTAACTTGAGCTCTCGTTCTGGGCAACCTTTCTCGGAATCTCTGAAAACTTTGGCCCTCTTCAAATTATTGCTTGTCCTCACACTGATCATGCTTGTGAGATCTGCTTCCCATTGCCAGTTAGGTTCACACCTGTATTTAAGTCTTTCAATATTTCCTAAAGCATTTACTGAATGACAGCAGCAATGATTTTTCTTAAGAGCTCAGTCAGGGCCCCTCATGAAATTGTGCAAAAGCCTGAGTGTACTGCATCTTCATGACTTGCTCTCGTATGTGTCAGCTGACGGCTGTCCAAGTAGAAAACCAGAGGATAAGCTTATGCGTACCTGTTAAATAAAACCTTACCTGTTGGGCCGGCCCCGTGGCTTGGCGGTTAAGTGCGCGCTCCACTACTGGCGGCCTGAGTTCGGATCCCGGGCGCGCACCGCCGCCACCACTTCTCTGGCCATGCTGAGGCCCTGTCCCACATACAGCAACTAGAAGGATGTGCAACTACGACGTACAACTATCTACTGGGGGGCTTTGGGGGAAAAAAAGGAGGAGGATTAGGCAATGGATGTTAGCTCAGAGCCGGTCTTGCTCAGCAAAAAGAGGAGGATTAGCACAGATGTTAGCTCAGGGCTGATCTTCCTCACAAAAAAACAAAACAAAACAAAACAAAAAAAAACCTTACCTGTTAAGCTGACAGGCAGCATCTTTATAAATTTTAGTGAAAAATAAATTCATACTTGATTTCAAAGTCTATTTACACTTTCACATAGTGACAAGGCTAAGCATAAAGCAGGACTAAAATTACATTCAATCAGTAACAGCAACAAAGAAAATACACCTCCTTGGAGGCCTTCCAGATGATAAAGGCCCTGGCTATGCCTACTATTCAGACTGCTTACTGCTTTGTGCCGAAAAGGTGAAAAGTATGTGGCAGTGTGCCAGGAGGCCCAAGAAGCGACACTTTAAACATGGGGCAAACTTTTGGAATAATACTTCAGCTCAAGGAGAGTAAAAATGTCATGAATGTAGTCAACTGTAATACAAAAAGTATATGACGTCTAAGACAAAACTCTGAGACTTAATATCTCACAGTGGAATTTCCAAGCATGTATCTAGTACCCCTGGTTATTCTGGTGGGAAGTGCTGAGATTTGGTGTCTAAGGCTCTCAAGGAGAATTGGACTTAGAACATCTAGGTTCTAATCATGACTCTGTCACTTACCAGCTGTGTGACCTTAGACAAGTCATTTGCCCTCTAAGCCCTAGTCTCTTCTTCTGTGCAGAGGAGGTTGGATTGCCTGATCTCTGGGGTCCCTTCCAGCTCCAAAAGGATTGTGGTTCTTGTTTATATTTAGAGTTCTGACTGCTTAATTTTGCCTATCATTTCTAATAGATGCCATCTGTTTACTCAGCATAGTGGTTTCATATCACTGTGAAATATCCCTTGGGGATCCCAAAGATCTGTCCAAATCCAAAATGCTAATATTTCACTAATTAAGCTATTACTGCTCACGCAGTGAAGGGCTAACCAATACTTCCAAATGCAAGATACACCATAAAAAGTTTAACCGATATCCAGATTTTTATCGAAACCTCCTATTTCTTTTCCTCATGGCCTCTGGCTCATCAAATATCCAGGAGATGACTTAAGGGTTCACTAGTCATTATTTGAGCATACCCCCTATTGTAAAGGTTCACAGTTTTGCTGTTTTTAATTGAAATACCCTAAAAGGCTCTTCCTTCTTGAAGTATTTACATAAGTGACACAAGTGAATCTAACTGGAGATAGTAGTAAAAATTCTCTTAAGCACACACACATAAATTCTTTAACACATATCACCTGAACATTTACAACAAAGTTTTTAAAAATTTAATAATCATTTCCATATTTTCTTGTGATTTATACAATTTAAAAATAAGCCTGTGCTTTCACATAGATTTTTTAAAATATAGCATGTTTGAATTATAAATGATTAGCAAAATCCATTACTTCATGGCTCACCATCATACGTAAAAACTTCAGTTAATTGAGTACTTGGAAAAAAGTAGGCCAGTGGTTGATGGGAAGGTATATTAAAATCAAGGATGGTTTTCCTTTTTTTTTGGTGAGGAAGATTAGCCCTGAGCTAACATCTGTTGCCAATCCTCCTCTTTCTGCTGAGGAAGATTGGCTGCGGGCTAATAATATCTGTGCCCATCTTCCTCTACTTTATATGTGGGACGCCTGCCACAGCATGGCTTCATAAGCGGTGTGTAGGTCCACGCCCGGGATCCGAACCTGCAAACCCCGGGCCACTGAAGCAGAGCGCGGGCACTTAACCACTATGCCACCAGGCCAGCCCCAAGGGCGGTTTTCATTTTAAAGGCAAAAATCTTCAAAGGAATCTATTTGTAATCTTCTGAAATGGCTGCTGTCAAAGTCTCCAGTCTGAATAAATCCGTCCCCTCTCATGACTGACGGGGGTCAGTAAGAAATGCTGGGAGGTATACTCTACAATTTAGGAATCGGCGTGGCTGCCACAGCTATGCTTTCGATTGCACACTCATCAGTTCCTCTGCGGATCCGGAAGTAACCATCCTCACCCCAGCTGGTGCCCCAGCTGTTTTTAACAATCCAGTAATCTAGCCCAGAGGCCGAGTCAGTGCCATAGCCCACCAGCAGAACAGCATGATTAGTCAGCTCAAAGGGGTTGAAAGGGTCTCTCAGACCAGTGTGGTGGTAGATCCCCTTGTGGTAGTGGAGGAAGTCATTATAGACTTCAAAAGCAACTGCCATGGGCCCATGATGGACCAGCTCAAGCTTCATGAGGGCTTCATTGCAGCCCCCATAGAAACCTCCCACATAGTGGTACCCGGAGGAGTAGTAACGAAAGCAGTCCTTCTTCAGTTTGCATGGTGAATCGGTGCCTGTGTAGGGGAAGCATGCCTCTTCCACCACCCCAAAATCTTGGGCATACTTTCCTGCGATGAGGTAGGGGAAGCCACCGTCACAGCCTGAGGATGAATAACACACAGAGTTACTATTCCCCTACTAGAAAGGGGCACAGGAGAAGCTGTGCCATTTCCTATTTTGTGTTTTCTACTCCATTAATTCTTTACGTAACCCCAGGAAGTTGTTCTTAATTTAAGTATCACTTCATCCGTCCACCCATTAGCCATCAACTCTCATCCCCATCTATTTAACAGACATGTATTTGGCAGCTGATGTGGAAGGTAGCTACAGCATAGTGGATAACTGGGAGGCTCTGAAGCCTGACTATGTTGGTTCAAGTCTGAAACTATGTGAGGAATTTAACTTCTCTGTACTTCTGTTTACTTATCTGTAAACTATAGATAGCAATAGTGACTTCCTTGTAGGATCAGTTACTTCATGTAAAAGCAATGTAAGTTTGCTGTTACTGTCATTATTAAACAGCCAGACACTATATGGTGGCTGTTCCTCAGGAAGTCTTCTCTGACCACCTCCTGCAGAAAAGTCTAAATCAGGTCCTCATCTCCCTCCTCCAGTCCTGGCCCTATTATACACATCTGTAATCCGGCTCTTTTTCTTCATTTTTCTTATAATTATTTAATTTCTATTTCCCTCACTTAACTATAAGCTTCATGAGGGTAGGGACTCTCTTGATACACCACAGTCCACAGGGCCAAGAAGTCACAATGTTGGTGTTCAATAAGTATTTCAGAAAGAATGAAAAGCTCACTGACAAATATCATTTATCAGCAGTTTCACTGGTGAACTGAGAAACTCTCTAGTGGCCAAATCTGGGGCTGACAGCAGAAAACTTTAAAATGGAAACATTTCTCCCTCAATGGGTGGCAGCTGGGCTTGTTACATATATTACATCGCCCTGTTCTGAAAGCCCACGTGTAGAACTTTAAAATTCTCCTAGAGAGAAACCAGTGTTAGTATGGTTTTAATAAGAATCAGGTTTTGGAGTGAGACCTTATTTGGAACTGAAACTCTAATGCTTAGAAGCTGCATGGCCTTCAAAATATTAAAGAACAACATATCTGTTCCCTCTCTATAAACAGGGATAATATCTACTCTTTCAGGGTTTTGAGCTTTGTTGGGTAATGTATGTAAAAGGCTCCTAAGAGCCAGTGCTCATCCAGTATACAGTAACTATTGACATTTTGTTGGCTGGGGCAGTGAATCCCATGAGAAACCACTCATTTATAAGTGATAGGGCCAGAACTCGCACCCAGGTTTTCTGATTACAGACATTGAGCACTCTCCACCACACCATCCTTTTGCCTTTGCCGACAATGGCCAACTCCACACAGGTAAATTGTGCCTGAAATACAACACTTACCCTGGGCATACTGGCTGCAAGACACGACCTCCTGAGGACTCAAGATTGGGGTCTGAGTGTTGTTGGTTAATATACGGATTCTTGCTTCCAGCATACCCATAGAAGCAAATGAGTAGCAGCTTCCACAAGATTCTGGTGATGGAAAAGAAAGATATATAACCCAAGAGACCTCTGAAGCACTCACAAAGAAATATAAAAAAACCTGAGTGGATGAGATACATTAATATATTTATATTGAGTGTTGCTGTTGTTCATAAAGATCAGCACGATAAAGAAGATTCAATCAACAAACACTATTGACCTTACAGGCAAACATTAAGATTTCAGCTTAAAATTTTTATCAAAAGGCCAACGTTACTATATGGGGCTTTCCTTGAGAATATTTTAGGAGAAAAAAACTCCTAACTTCTGCAAAGCATTTGACAGTATTCTTGATAATGAAGAAATGATTTATGTCTGCAACATTCTGAGCCATCAGGTTGAGACAAAACTACAGAGAGATACATGTGAGTTGAACTTTTAAATATCTCCAGAGCAGCAATTTCTAAAGCAACTTGTTGGGTGGAATTGACCCTATGAATGGCTTAGGTATGGGTGTATTGTAGAGAGTTGGATTTAACCAGAGTCAAGGAGGCAAAATACAACAAAGCCAAAGAAAGGTAAGAGGGTAACTATAATGACGGATATGGTATTTAAGGCAGCCAATGAGGAAGCAACGACATAACACAGATGGAGGGAGTGAAATGGAAAATGGACTGGTTCTAAGGGGAAAAGGGTAACAGCATGTTCCCTGAAGTGTCACCAAGAGGAGAGAAGAACATAACAGTAGCTGGATGGAGGTGGGGAGAAGGGAAAAGAAAACAGTTTTATTTTTAGTACCTGGATGCTCTGGCAAAGACAAAACACATTTACTTAAGAAGCAAATGCGAGGAATATAGTTGCTATTTCAAGAGAAGGAAAAATGTTATACTATGTGGTAATTTATATGAACAATATTATTTTTCTATATGTTTCTTCAATATGTGTGGGAAAAAGAAATAAATATATATAAGAAAATATAGCATGTATATAACAAAACTGGGACTTGTTATAATTCTAGAAAGAAATGAATATAATTTTAATCTATTATTATACAGCATCTTTCACCTCTGCCACTGATATAAATTCTACACAGAGACATGCTTGTACCAAATCCAAGACATTAGTATTAATGCAGTTATACACAATTGATATGTTATTCAATTTACTAATATATTATTATTAGTTACCAAATTATTTGAATGGTGAGCACTCCCTTATGCATGTAAAATAAGATTAATGGACAGACAATATTACAATTCAAAAAACTCATTCTATGTAAAGAGAATGCTGCTTTTATTGTCTTTATTAAATCTGAATTTAGTAATTTAGTAACTGCCTTCCTTAGAGAGAAAAGTATTCAAAAGAATACTATGTATTCAAAATATTATCAGGGACACTGTTTTTCCCTTCTCCAGGTAACTGTTGCTTCATGGCCCTCCCTGAGTGCAAAGGAAAGCCAGGATATTCTATGCTCAGCCTCGAACATCCTCAACTCTACTTAAAATTACTTATATTGTTTTCCTCAAACTAAACTGTGAACTTCCTTGGGTGTTGACAAGAAATGTGTTTTCTTCATCTTGGTGCCCCATGCAATGAAGGAACTCAATGCATGTTTGCAGAAAGAAGAGTCAAGTTATCAACAAGTGGATACATATTTACATCCATGAAAGAAAGTGACTTCAGTGAAAACAGTCAACCTTTACTTGTTTCTAAGCTCCAAGGGAGGCAGAACCCTAGATCCTAATGTGAGCCTTCTCTAAGTAGCTCAACAATACCACAGATCCCAGACTTAGAGTCTATTAGAGCCTTACTACACTTTGCTACCATTTCTGATGTTCTCCAAAATTCTCTCCACAAACATGTCTGATTTATCTATATCATATACTGTTTTTGCAGCTGAGGGATCACCTAAATTCTGAAAATTAGAAGAGAAACACTTGGAAGGGGCCTTGCAATTCATCTAGTGTACAACCTACTCACTTGATAATGTGTACACTGAGAATCAGAAAGAAGCAATGATCTCTCCAAAGTCACAAAGAGATGGCAGGTGCTAGTACCTAAGTAACTCCTAATGCAGGACTAGTGTCCTTTTGGTTTATAGGTCTGTATCTACTTTTAAAAAGTTTTTTTTTTTTTTGTGAGGAGATCAGCCCTGTGCTAACATCTGCCAATCCTCCTCTTTTTTTTTTTTTTTTTTTGCTGAGGAAGACTGGCCCTGGGCTAACATCCGTGCCCATCTTCCTCCACTTTATATGGGACGCCGCCGCAGCACGGCCTGACAAGCGGTGCGTTGGTGCATGCCTGGGATCCGAACCGGCGAACCCTGGGCCGCTGCAGTGGAGTGTGCACACTTAACCGCTTGCGCCACCGGGCCGGCCCCTAAAAAGTTTTAAATTGTCTTTCCCTATCATCTTGTTACTAGATAAACCAAAATCAACTTGTATATTTTGTTTTCAAAACCATCCAAATAATACTATCCTTAGGATCCCTCTTTCAAATGATAGAATATCAAAGAACTAGAAGAGTGACAGTAAATAGCCAAAGCCAGTGGTCCTTTCTTGTGACATCAGGGTCTTATAATAAATAACATCCCAAGATAGCCTGGAATGGCCCATTTTGGCCACTAAGCATTCTTGGCCCACGGCAGCCACGGAAGTAATCTCTCTTGGTATTAACCATTAAACTCCCATCATCTGACCAGCCAGCACTGTGGGAGGACAGGCCACAGGTACATTCAAGGGCTCAGAATATGCTCTGTTAACAGAGAAATTACGGGAATGAGGAAAGAAATTAACCTTCCTCAAACCCCTGATGTTCCCAGGAGAACGTGTCAGCTGCCAAGGTAATTAAGGCCTCTTCAAAAGTCCAGGCCAGAGTCTAGATTCTAAAAGGACCATTACCCCTTAAGAAGACTACCATGCAATAAAGAATAAGAAAGGGATCTGGCCTAGCAGAGCTCTGCAGTAATCAAATTTCCACAATCTCACAGAGATAATGTGATTGTCACATTCTTTAACTATGTTCAGACACCTTCTAACAGCAGAGAACATACTAAACTAGGAGTAAGAAGTCAGGATTCTTTCCTTCCCAACCCCCCCCCCCCCCCGCCTTGTCACTCAGCTGTGTGACTCTGGGCAAGTCACTTAACCTTTTTTGGCATTTCTTTTTATCTTGTGTGTAAAATGAATGGGGTGAAGTAAACTGTTCAGAATCTCTGCCTTCCAGCTCTAAAGTATAAACAGTATGTAGAATAAGAATTAAATGAACTAGATTTTAAACATTAGGAAAACACTCTGCATGTCCTAATTAATGTGACCTGAGAGACACTCCCTTCTGTCTTGAAGACACAATAATAAATAAAGACAGCACAGCTGGGAGAAGAACAAAGAAAGTCCATCTCTTCCAATTTCCTAGCCTCTCTTCCTTCTCACACTTCAAAGTAAATCCAGCTCTAAGGCTGGTGCTTAAAGCTATTTTCAAGTGTAAAGGTAAAACCTCATTTGTCCTCCCAAAATTTCTTTTTTCATTTATCTTGATTTGTGCTCTGAATAGAAAAAAGTTGTGAATTCCTTTAACTGTGGGTAATTTTGAATTCTGGGTTTTGTGGAACACTGGTATTCTTAAAGTTAGTGGAAATTTCCAAGCAGCCCAGTTAGCAGGAAAAGAAAATAATTTTTTCCCAACTTATAAAGTACAGAAAACCAAAAGGAAGTCAAAAGAGGAACTTCTAAGTACATTATTTTCTCAAGTATCTGAAAAGATACTACAGATAAGGAATCAACTCAAAAGCAATTAATCTATCAAAGCCCTTTGTTTTTAAATTGTCCATGTCTGTACAAATCCTATTTATAACACTCAAAAAATATGCAACATTGGAGACAATAATAGATTTACCAGGTTACAAGAAAACTAGTGTCAAAGAATTTGGCTTTAGAAAGTCTAATTTCCTTCCTTTGAATTACTGTCTCATCACTCAATCATATCTTTTGGGAAGTGAGTGGAACTAAACTTTTCTTTCAAACTTCTCCTATGCTCCCAGTGAATTTTAAAAATAGTTTATCAAAGCAGTTATCATACTGTATTCTAATGTTTTGCTTGCAGGTCTTGCTAAACTGTAAGTCTCTACGACAAGGATCATGTCATATTAGTCTTTATATCCTGAGTCATGAAAAAAAATTTCCTAACACATCTGACCCTCTATAAATACTCTGTAATATAGCAGAAGCAACTATGTGCCAGGCCCTCAATAATCAACACCTGACATGCAGTACTTACACTTAATCCTCTCAAATAAGTATAGGTAATCTGTTTGAAGACAAATTTTAATCCGCTCTTAACATCACCCCTTTTATTTCCCTTTCCATTCATTTCTCAATTACCTTCAGATTTCTCTCATTTCCAATCCCTCCTTTCCAAAGAAGTCCTTCCCAGGAAAGAAAAGGTAGGGAAGGATTTCAGGATCCACACTTTCTCTAGAGCTGAAGAGTCTCAGAAAAACTGGTACAGAGGAAAGAGATGAGATGAGATCTCTGGTGTCAGATGAAGGACAGGAAGCTTGCTGACTGGCTGCTGCCAGACCCGCTCAAAGCTCTGCACACTCAGAACACTTGGCAAGAATTCAGTGAGGATGGAATTGAAGGGTCAGTGGTAAATGCTGAGAAGTGGGAGAGGCTTATTATCACTGAATTTTTAAGAAAGGGGAAGAACAATTTATCTTTCGGTGTTATTAATTTATAACGCTCTCAGGAGATGCTAATCAGAACGTTTCCAGACAGCAAATACTACACCTATTTTATAGTAACAAATCAGTCATGTTTACTATAACTATCTTCCAAATGAGCTTAGAAGTAATAAACCTGAGTATTGTATAAATGATTCTCCAAGGCATTGTTGGCTAAAATTTAGGATATCTTTTAGGATAACAAGATAATTTGCTATCAAGTGCTACTAGAGGAAAAGTTATTAAATCTACTCATACCGTATCCAATTTCTGAAAATAACTGGTAAAACGCAATTAAAGTGATACTTTTGGTAAACCTGGGCTCTGCCCCCAGGCCACCATTCTGGAAGCTGGCTTAATACTTATCATCATATGTCACATTCTGACATAAAGTGAATTGAAAGGTCTTTACAAAGCTCAAAAAAATCTACTTTACCGAAAAAAAATGTTAGAATCCATCTTCTGGGCTTCTACAGTAATTAAAAACTAAATAATGGTCGACAGGGGAGTAGGGAGAAAGTGGGAAGACAGATAGCAAAGAAGGATTCCAGCAAACCACTTGCAGAAGGAAGACAATTTTAGCTGTATGCAGTTCTGTTTCTACATGAGTCTCTCCTACTAGGAGGGCAAATGAGTTTGGCTTACATATCACTCTGATTAATTTCATTAGCTACCTGGAACGTAAATTGAGAAGGATACTGAAGAAATGCTGAGCTCAGTTGGAGAGATTATTTATTACCAAAGCCTGTCATGGATACAAAAGGAAGACGTGAGTATTCATTGGCCATATATTTTCCATTTCTTTACTAAAGCGGATCATGCCCATTTCATCTCTGTATCCCTAGAATCTACCCCAGAGTCTAGCACGCAGTAAATGTTCAATAAATATTTCAGGATGAATTAATGAAAAATCAGACTTTTTTTTTTACCTTGGTTTCGAACAGGGGTAACAAAATTGACACCACGAACATTTCTCCAGTCCCAAGATGCTGGCAAATGTAAAACCTTTTCAAGTATTTCAGCAGCCAGTGGTGCAGGTTTAGGCCTAGGATGGAAATACACATTTGACATCAATATATAGTCTTTCCTTTGAGGATGATTTCCTAACCCCTAATTCTATGATTTCAACCACCTGGCTATCTAGGATCTAGAGTCAGACCCAAACAGCATTTGTCCCATCAGTGTTCCAATGTGTCTATTACACAATCATGCGTCTACTATACAACATGTCGATTACACCACTAAATTGTTTAAATGGTTTTTATTATCCATTTCTTTTTCAGGATCTAGTAATTTTCTCCTATGAAATGACACTGGTTTCGTAAATCAGTGTGATGCTATTTTTAGTATGCCTAAAGAGTTGCATTCTCTTACTTTCAACAGATTTTGACTAAGAGAGATGGGAAGTTGAAAATGGCCTACAAAGGATACAGAGAAAATACAGGAATTACTGATGGTTGACTCAGCAGATGGTGGTGGTGACAGTAACGTGGTTGTAAAAGAAGTGAAGTAGGCACAGAAATAAAAGGTCTAAGTAGAAAGTAGGCAGATTAACTCCATAAACAACAGACAAAACTGCTTCCTCATCATAGAACTACATCTCATATGATATGGTTGGAAAATAAGACACAAAAAGGAGAGTTGCCCAGAACGATGAATAATGGATAGACATTTTCTGGAAATGAGAAAATTGTTCTACAAGCTTCTCAGTATTAAAGATTTAAAACAAACAAACAGGACTCTAGCTCTTGACACACTAGACTTCTTGGAGTTCCCCCAAGTCTGTCAAATGCTCTCAGTGTTCCATGTCTTTGTCCTGTTGCTCCTTTTATCTAAAAGGCCTGTTGCGCACCGCTTAGAAGAAATCCCCTTAGAGTTTTTCCCTAACTTCTAATTTTAAGGACTGCTCATAGAGCAGCCCTCACCCACCAGCCCCCAACAAAAACTCACTTCTCTCTATGCTCCATCAACTCTTTTGTTAGGCCACACCCGTTACACTGTGGTAACATTTATTTTTCTGTTACTGTAAACTACTTGAATTTCTTACTACATTTGGCATTGTCATACCACACTGTTCTAACTTTTCAGTGGTTACACAGTTGGTTTTTCACCAGGTTCCCATTTAGTCACTGGCAAAGATTCTTTCAGGACTTCTTCACATCCTTTGCAACTATTCTCAAGTGGTTCCCTTTCTCACACACTTCTCTTAGAGATGATATAAGTTAATGCTAAGATAAAATGGAAGTAAAATGAAATAGAGAAAAAATCACTCATGACCAGCAATCATAACCTTGAGAACTATATATAATAGAGAGCATATTACATACAGAAATGTCGATTAATTTTTCACTAAAATATTAACCAAGCCAGAGACATTGCTAGAAGCTCTACATGATACAGAGATGAACATGAGGTGGTCTTTGACCATAGGAAAGACAGCATTAAGAGACATGAGACATAAAGAAATTACTAAAACAAATACAAAGAAGTTATAGCAATGTTATAAAACATATAACTTGGATAATGCCCATGGAATAACCAAGGTACATAAAAGCTATGCACTGTGGAAAATTTTAGATAGAGGGTGGGGAAAAAACAAACCAAAAAACAAACCTTAGATGTTTCTTCGTGATTTATGAATAAAAACTAGGGTGTAAACAAATTCTGGAAGGAAACAGTTTCTGTGATTTCACATTGAGAGACCAAGAGATTCAGTCAATCAATAGACATTAACTAAGTGTCCTGTATGTACCTAAGAATACACTAAGTAATATGAAAGATAAAAAAGGAAGTGAAGTTTGGCAGCACAATGTAATTTCAGGGAAGGTATCTCAGAGTCACACTGACCTCCTACAAATGGCTTTACCACTTACTAGCTGTGTGACATTCGTCAAACAACTTATCACAAAACTATGATTGGCTCCTATTAAAATGGGTATATAATCACACCTACCTCAAACGATGGTTACGAAAATTCAATGTAATGATTAACAAGTGTTTAGAACAGTGCCTGTCTCTAAGTCCTTAATAAATTATTAAGCTATGATGATGATAACTACCATCATCACCATCCATGTTATTAAGAGGACTAAATATGATACTGATACATTTAACTTACTATCTGGCACAAAACAGGCATTTAAATGTTAACTTCCTCTTCCTACCATCCTATAAGGCAAAGTGTTTGCCCATCATTGCACACACACACAAAACAATGTGACAAATGAAGCTCAATGGTGTGAAAATGAAGACAGTGTAAGAGGAATTTAGGAGATGGAGAAGTGAGAATTACAAACATTATAAGTACAGTATACATTATTGGCTCTTAATCATTTGTGTCCAGATTCTTTAAGAATCTGCTGAAAGCTCTGGACTGAGAGAGATCTCCATGCACAATAAATGTTTCTATAATTTCAGCAGTTTCACAGACTCCCTAAACCTCAAGTTAAGAATCTCTGAGAGCTTCCATTATGTCATTGGACTCTTATAACAGAACTAATTTATATACAAAAATGCTACTGAAAACCAGCAGCTAGACCACAATGTCTGCTTCAGTATTTCCCACTTCACTCAATTCCATCTCCTCATCTTAAACCTTCTATGGAGCCTCAGCCTTAAAAGCAGCCCTTCATAAAGCTAGCCCTTCTCTAAAACAAAGGTGGTTGGGTGGAGGGAGAAAGACTCCAACACAAGAGTTCCTCAGAAACGTGGCACACAACATGTGGCAAAGCAGTCATGTCTGAGGCTCAAATCTTTCAGGCTCAAATGCTGACAACACCGCCTGTGATGCTCCTCTGGAGTTTCTGACAACACCGCCTGTGATGCTCCTCTGGAGTTTTACAGAACAGGTCTCAACATCCTGCCTCACACACAGTATGACTCTTTCACTTTAGTGAATTTGAGAAGGGATATGATATGCTCCCTTTCCCAATTTCGATTAACCAGAGCATCTCATGGACTAGTGAGTCCTTAGAACACACTGAGAAATATCGTATAAGATTCTTTTGAGAAAGGGGCAGAATTATGAGAATGCTATCAGTTGGATAGGATAAAAACTCCATTCACTCTCACAGTTGAAAAATACCGGAGCATTAGGATTATTAGTCTGCAGATGAAAAAGTTAGCAATGTATTTTAGTTAACAATTAATTGACCTACTGATTAATTAATTGAACACTGCCTGTTCAAACAATATAATTTGAACTAATGACTCTACAGATATTAAGGAAATAATCATTATATTCTCTGAATACTGGAAAATGTTTCAATATACTAAGAGAAAATAACCTACCTACACAATTTATTGACTCCCATTAGCTTCCCATTGGTTTCCACTTCTCCAACCTTCAGTTATATCAATTTCTCCTTGAATCAAGGTATGATATATCACAGAAATATCCTTGACCATTTAATAAATGTTAAGGGACCACATACCCTGCTAAATTCAGCTATAGTTTTGAGGGAATAAAAGAAATCTACCAAATTCCTGACTATACAAATTCAAAGAATGACATAATTTTCCCAAAGAAATATACCACGGGGTATGCAAGCTAAAGATGGGAAATGTTACTTCTGGCTGAGGGTAGTAGAGGTATATTGATAAATATGGAATATTTTTTGCTGGACTTTAAAACAGAGAAAGGACTTTGAGATTTTTACAGGTGGCAAATGTGACAGTTTTGATAGAAAGTTGAGGGGTACTTGAGGCAAAAGAAGTGGTATGAACGGAGAAAAACGAAAGGAACGTTTTGCAGTAGTTGTGTGTCATATTGTTTGAAAGCAGGTCAAGGTGGTAAATATAGTTACAGCCAAATTTAGATGGCTTTGGTGACCTGGCTAAATTTATTCATTGGACTGTAGGTAGTAACTCAATCATTGCTGGGTATAGGAAGATGAAACTGGCAGTATTTCATAGAATAGCTAAGAATGGCGACAAGGAGGAGAAGAGAACAAAGAGACAGGAGGCAGGAGGCTGATCCACGATGCAGGAGAGAGAGGACAAAGCCCTGAGCCAGAGTGTAGAAAACGGAAAGAGAGTAATGGAAGGGGCAGACACCATAAACAGCACTCGGAAAGCATTAGAGTATGAATGAATAGGAGAGGGGGATGGTCAGAAACAAGATAACACGAAAAGTTTAAATTGGGATGACCAATAAAATGGTGGGCAACCCAAGGAAAGCTGGTTGGAAGGGAGGATGTCTTTCAACACAAATATCTTTACTAGTGATGAAGAGATGTGCTTTGCTGTATTACCTTGGGATTCTCCGGCTGTGGCCACCACCTCTCCTAATCATCTCTTTCAGGGTAAGAGTCTCATATTCCATGTATGTGGTTGCAGTCCAAGACTTCTGAACAGCATTGATAGCTTTCACAAAGTTGTGGTTATATTTGTAGAGCCTATTAGAATGCCTGCCAACAAAAGCAAGACAGCTTCAGATATAATCTTTACTGATGTAAACAGACCCCATTAAAATAAGCATTCTTATACTCTGGACCTAAGTGGAAAGTGGTATAAACTTTCAGGAAGGAATTGGATATATTAATCTATATATGTATATCTGTATATATATCAATAGCCTAGAATTGGAATGTCTCCTATGAAAATAAAAGTTCAAGTTAACTAAAATAAATGTATAAGGATGTTCGATGAAACACTTTTATACTAGTGATAGATTGTAAACAACCTAAATAAATGCTCTAAAATAAGGGCCTGATTAAATCAATAATGGTACTTCACCTACTATATAGTTTATTCAGTAAAAATGTTCAGAAGATTATTTGTGATATGGAAGAGTGTTTACACTATATTAAATTTAAAAAGCAGGATATTGAAGAAGTTTATACAGAATTAATCAATTTTTGTGAAAGTATATATATTTATACTATAAGTACATTAAAAAAAAGCCAACCATGGGTATTTCTGAGTGGTGACATAGGATCACCATCTTCCCCCGCCCCCCGCTACAATTTCTACAATGTACCTTTGTAACTTTGTAATAATAAACAAGGGGGAGGGCAGTAGGAACTGTATATAATGTATATAGAGCATGGCAAGCATTACAACCACATGATGCCAGAAAAAAAATTTTATTCCAAATGGACATTTGGTTTATATCCTTGTTACTCAAATTTCATTCTTCAACCAGTAGCAGCAGCAGCACCTGGAATCTTGTTAGAAATGCCGACTCTAAGTATCCAGCCCAGACCATCTGAATCAGAATCCGCATATCTTAAGATCCCCAGGTGATTCATAATAACATTAAAATTTGAGAAGCACTGGTTTATCTGATATCAAATGCTTGGATACAGATATAAATAAATCTAACATACAAAGAGCATGTTTACAAAGCAAAAAAATTGGAGGAGTTGATTATTCATTTAATTTAAACATGTACCACACCTATGTGCCAGGTGCTAGGAATTACAGAATTCACCGTATTATTTCTATTAAAAAGATTCTGTGGCTTAAGTGTGACTCACTATCCAAGACTTCCATTAACATTCAATTATGCAAAGCAAGATACACTTAACCTGAGTAACATCTTAGGCATACTGTGAACTTTGCTTTCTCTTTTAAATTAGATGTTCATAGAGTATTTTGATAGCCAAGGAACCTGGTAGCACTGAAAATAATAAGAAAAATGTGCAATCACATTGATAATGTTTTTATCAAAGTTCTTTCCCACTTGTTGCAAAGTGTGACACCAGAGAGGTACCTTTATTAAGTAGATTATAGAACTGCCTGTAACATACTTCTGACAATACTAATGCACAACAAAAACAAGTTACAGTCGTTTGTTTCTTTAGACACAAGAGTAAATTTTAAAGTATAAATGTGTATCTTGAAATATTTTCCACTGATGAGAGTCACTATTTCACTGACTACAAGTATCTGAGAAGCAGTAACTATCCCTACTTCCCTTTATCATAACTTTATATGCCATGTGCATTACAGTAATGACAAAGTAGGTCTTAAACACTACTATTTTTAGTGTTTAAGATCCAAGGAAACTAAAAATAATGTAACTTACTATGGAATAACAGATCACTAAGAGCCGAAAGAGTCCTTGATGGTAATTTAGTCCCAATGGTCATTTTACAGGTGAGGCAACGCAGGTTCTGAACACTCCAGTTAGCAGCCTCTTCACTAAATGAGGCAATGTTTGAAATATCAAATAAGTACAATAGTCCACAGTATATCCTAAACCATCAGGTGGAAAGTAAGCAGCTTAATAGGAAATGTGTTGCTCCAGGATCAAACCAAAGCAATTTAAAAGCTAAATTCAAAATGGAGGGGAGGAATTAGTCTAGATCTTGGTCAGCACTCTTCCAGACAAGTACAATCCTCTTTGAACTCACGTCCCCACCTCTCTGCCGCAGAGTCATTTGTTGCCAGTGTGGCCTGGCTTTGGATGATATGCTCATGTACACTTTCAATAGATTCCACAAGGAAAAAAAACAGAAAAAGTTGCTACCAATATTCATCTATTCCTTCCAAAACTAAGAAAGTCTGAAATCTCTTATTTGTGTGGTTCAGTTAAAGTGGACCTAACTTAACAAAAACATTAACTGTATGTTATAGGCTGAATTGTGTCCTCCCAAAATTCATATGTTGAAGCGCTAACTTCCAGTACCTCAGAATGTGGTATTTGGAGATAGGGCCTTTAAAGAAGAAATTAAGGTAAAATGAGGTCATATAGGTGGGCTCTACTCCAATATGACTGGTGTTCTTATAAAAAGAGAAGATTAGGACACAGACAGAGGGATAACCACATGAGGACACAGCAAGAAGGTGGCCATCTACAAGCCCAGGAGAGAGGCCTCAGAAGAAACCAAACCTGCCAACACCTTGATCTTGGACTTCTAGCCTCTAGAACTATGAGAAAATAAATTTTTGCTATTTAAGCCATTCAGGCTATAGTACTTTGTGACGGCAGCCCTAGCAAACTAATACACTACATAAATATGAAGAATTTCAGTTACTTATTGCCTTGTTTAAAATTCATGTTCAATTAGTATCACCTATATTTTTTGCAACATAAACATGTTGCAAGTATTACGCAACATGTTTTTACATGGCTATAATGATTTTTATTAGTCACTACATTTCTGTAGTCCTTTATATAAATTTTCTTTAAAGCCATCATCGGTCCATTACTTTTGGAGTGCTTTGAAAAAACATACTTTCTTCTCTCAATTACATCAGTCAAAATATTTTTCCAGTAAGGTTTTATGTAACATGCCTTATGTTTCTAAGCCAAATAAATTTTACATAATCAAAATAAAATTTTCAAAGAATTAACATACACACATATTTATACATACCATAAAACAAAACTAAATGTATCTTTCATTGGTGACAACTCACTTTTCCAGGAGACTCTGAGGGTGTGCTGTGTTCACGTTCATGTTCTCAGAGGTAGTCCCCACCTTGCTTCCAGTGAAACAAGCCCAGTTCCGGCCCAGCACATCATGCACCCACCCAGGCATCGTCTCATTGCAGTAACTGGTTACTTTGGTGCCCTCTTCTTCATACTGTGACCAAATAAAGGAAGGAAAGGCCAAGTGAGTCTGTGTTCAACTCTCAGGTCCATTTCCCTGGTTGCCATTCACAATAAAGACATCCTTTTTTCAGTTCACCTTAGGGACCAGCCTCTGCCAGCAAAAGCAAAAACTTCACCTGACAGGCTGCATCCTGAGAATAACTCTAGAAAAGGAAGAGAAATAAACTTTTCTGTGATTAGCATTGTTGGCCACCAACCAAAATTTACATAACAAAATGCTTTTGGGAATGAAAGGCAGGGAAAAAAACTAACATTTTTAGAGCATCTGCAGATTCCAGGCATTTTACAAAAGTTATCTCATTTACTCCTCACAGTAAGCCTATGAGGAGGCAGGCACCTATGACATCTTACCAGAGAGAAAGTAGACGCTCAGCTCAGAAAGGATGTGTAGCTTCTACCTAAGGTAACAGAGCTGTTAAGTGGCAGAAACAAAACTCTGCTCAGTCTGTCAGACTATACTTTTCCACTCAGATAATCACTCCAACAAAATACAAGAACAAATGATGAAAATTTTCCATAGAACTAAACAAAACCCTTTCTTCTGTCAATCTCCCAATTTACTAGGAGGTTCTGATTATGAGGGAACTAAAGAAACCTGATTATTAAATATTCTCTCCTCTTTATTTCACTAATGGGGCTCTGTCTTATTTCAATGTTAATACTGAAAAACAACTATCAGTGATAGATGTAGGATTTGAACTCAGATGCTTTGACTCCAGAGCCTAAAAACCCTCATGTTATAACATCTCCCTGGGCTGTCCCGGTGGCTTAGCGGTTAAGTGCACACACTCCACTACCAGGTTCGGATCCTGCGCACGCACCGACGCACTGCTTCTCCGGCCATGCTGAGGCCAAGTCCCACACACAACAACTAGAAGGATGTGCAACTATCACACACAACTATCTACTGGGGCTTTGGGGAAGAAAAAAAGGAGGAGGATTCACAATAGATGTTAGCTCAGAGCCGGTCTTCCTCAGCAAAAAGAGGAGGATTAGCACAGATGTTAGCTCAGGGCTGATCTCCCTCACACACACACACAAAAATAACATCTCCTCATGGAGGAGGGACACATAACCTAGAAGGAGAGTGTAGTGTGGGAGGAAGAAAGGAAAAAATGCATGCTAAATTTCTATGATGAGGGACTTGAGCACAAACAATTTCAGGCATTGACTTCATGGAACAAAAGCACAAAAGCAGTCAAAGACAACACATAAATGAATCCGCACAGCAGTCAGCTGTGTTTCAATACTGTCCTTTACAACAGTACACAGGAGGTTGGTTCTGGTCCACAGGCGATAGTCTGCAGATTCCTAATCTAATATAATGAATATCACTTGACCTGTGTGCAGGGGTTGGCAAACTTCTTTTTTAAGGGCCAGATAGTAAATATTTTAAGGTTTGCAAGCTATAAGGCCTCTGTCACAACTACTGAACTCTGCCATTGCAATGTAAAAGGTGCATAGGGAACACATAAATGAATGAACTAGACTTGTGTTCCAATAAAACTTTATTTACAAAAACAGCCCTGTAGTTTGCAAACCCCAAGTTTAGAGGAATGTGTGGGCTTAACTACACTTAAAGGTTAAGTTGCCTTATTGCATCTGACTCTCTCCGAATTCAAATCATATTTAGAGGTAGAGTTAAAAACCTATGGCTTTAGAATGCACAAGAGCTGGATTTGAATCCTGGGATTCACCACCCACTAAGCTACATGGCACAGGAGAGGTTACTACAGCTACCGTTCATGACATTGTGAAGCCCGTCTATCTACCTCAGGCTAAGGATATCTTCACTAGCATGAGTTCAGTTCACCACTCATGCCCCTGTTAAAGCCCCAACTCAGAGCAAGGAACACTTAAATAAAGGCCTAGGACATGATCAAGCTGCCACGTTAGAGGGTGTGCTGTGTGCAAAGGTTAATAAAATATATATTTATTATGCTGAACTACATGAAACCGCTATTTTTATAGATCAAAAGCAGTCTAATATTGGAAACCTCATATGACGCAGCCTAAATCTCTGAGAGTTCTATTCAGTGTTTCTCTTTGACACAGGCTCATGATCATGCTCCCTCCTCCCCTGCCGCCTGCCAGTCAGACAGGCCAGCTGGGGCTAAGCCAACACCCCTCCCCCCACCTCTCTGTTTTAGAAAGCAGTGTGACAAGGCTTTAAGAGTTCTTGAGATCTACCATACAGAAATTGTCAAATACGCACGAATGGAAAAAAATGCTCAACACAGGAAGACGTTCGTTGCAGTATAACGCAAAAGTTAAAAACAAAAACAAGAACAAAATAATATCCTAAATGTTCAAATACTAAATTAAGTAGATTAATAACTCAAAAGAACATCATATAATATTTTACATGATAAATACGAGTTCCACAGAAGAGAAGTGAACGAACTAAGGCTGAGGAAGGCTGCCTGATTTATTTTTTTTTATTTTTTTATTTTTTTAGCTTCTTTGTTTATTGCAGTAACATTGGTTTATAACATTGCAAAAATTTCAGGTGTACATCATTGTACTTCTATTTCTGCATGGACTACATCATGTTCACCACCAAAATACTAATTACAACCCATCACCACACACATGTACCGAATTATCCCTTTCACCCTCCACCCTCCCCCCTTCCCCTCTGGTAACCACCAATCCAATCTCTGTCCCTATGTGTTTGTTTATGGTTGTTATTATCTACTACTTAATGAAGGAAATCATACGGTATTTGGCCTTCTCCCTCTGACTTATTTCACTTTGCATTATACCCTCAATGTCCATCCATGTTGTCACAAATGAAGGCTGCCTGATTTACAAATTTAGTTGAAGAGACCACAGCCAGGCCCACTTGTTTACACATTGTCTGCCGCTGCTTCTGTGCTATGATGGCAGAACTGCGCAGCTGCCAGGGACCACAAGGCCCACAAAACCCAAAACATTTACTATCTGCCTCAAAAGAAAAAGTCTGCTGACTCCTCTATAGAGAAGTAAAAAGAGAAAACCTATGATACATTAAGAGAAAAAAGGACAAGACAGCACTTCAGTTGAATGCAAATATGTAAAATTTTTATGAAATATGGTTTTTAAAAAATGGAAATGAAAGGTGAAATGGGTCTCTGCTTGGGATTTTCTTGGTTATTTACAAAGTAGAGACTGCTATATAAATTTTGTGAAACTAATCACTTTTAAAAATACTCTTATTTCCTAAGAATGAAACTCACAGCCTACAACGTCCTAGAAGACGATATCTATGAGGGATGGTCTAGGTGTTTTTCCAGAGGCTGCTAACTTAGACCTGTCCCAGATTATGATTACACTGCCTGAAAAAAATCATTATATAACCGGGGCCGGCCCCATGGCTTAGCAGTTAAGTGCGTGCACTCTGCTACTGGCAGCCCGGGTTCGGATCCCGGGTGCACACTGATGTACCACTTGTCCGGCCATGGTGAGGTGGCGTCCCACATACAGCAACTAGAAGGATGTGCAACTATGACATACAACTATCTACTGGAGCTTTGGGGAGAAAAAGGGAAAAAAAAAAAGGAGGAGGATTGGCAATAGATGTTAGCTCAGGGCCCGTCTTCCTCGGCAAAAAGAAGAGGATTGGCAGGGATGTTAGCTCAGGGCTGATCTTCCTCACAAAATAAAAAAATCATTACATAACCTATTTCATAGTTTGCTAAGCTCTTTCATTTTTTTTATCAAATACTTATTGGTGACATAATATTTCCCAGGCATCGTGCAAGGTGCTAGGCATGCACACACTTATGTATTGATGTGGCCCCAGCCCTTAGGGAAGTTCAGAATTCAATGAAATAAATAAACATGGAAATAATTCATTACAGTACCATGTGGTTCAGCAAGCTAACCATGCTTGGAGAAGCCCAGAAACTTCCCCATCTAAGCATACATTTAGATTCAGATGAAATGACTTTCACAATGTACCAAAATAGTTAGGGGCACTCGAGTTAGAAGAAATGGGCCCCATGTTTCTCATCAGTGTGGTTTTGCTCACCTAGCTGGCACAGCTGAGTTATAGCTACAAGCATGATGGCTAGCACCAAATGAACTTCCCCTGGGAGGGGAAGGCTGAGTTGTTATTTTGAGAGGGGGGGAACAATCATTGGAGCATGACTGATTTTGCTGCAGTCTCTTATTGTTCATATTTGTTCAAAGACTCTATACTCTTCCTCGTCAATATTACAGAACTATAGGACCTTAACATTTACTTCTCACTTCATACTTCATAAACATTTTACAGATTACTCGTAAATCTTAGAGGCTTAAGAAAACATAGAGATAATATAGTCTCAGAGGACAAAACGAGAGACCTACAGGAGGTGGTTGAACTAGAATTTATAACCAAGGACTCCTAGAACCAAGCATTCTTCCCAACAGCATGCACCACTTCTTCACACACTTTGTCTCCTCACACAGAGCTGGAGAAGTAAACATATAGGTTAACTGCCAAAAACACTGAGAGGAGACTCCTAGAAACCACACAGCAAAGGCATAAAACTCAATTTGCCAAGAGTTTCCATCTACATCATTTGACCCTCACAATGATTCCTTGGGATAATAGGCATTACTCTTCTCATGAAAAAAAAAAATGGCTTTGCAAAGTCAAATGGAGAAGAGAGAATTCAAATATGGTTCACAGGTTACAAAGATCATTGCTTTACCCATTGTTTCCTTAAAAAAAACAAAAAACAAAAAACAGTTGGAGAAGACTGACTGACTCTCAAGAGTCAGGTCCAAATTGTTGCCCAAGGCCTGTTAAGGGCCACCTAAATTCTGTAGCAGTCCTAATGGTCACTGCCCGCTGTTCAGGGACCTATGTTGCCTTGGCTAGTTCAGTCTTTTTACCATTTTTCCAAGGGTTTTTGATGCAGGGCAGAGGTAAAGGGCATGCTCTCCAGACTTGACTGCCTAGATTGGCTCCAGCTCTGCCCCTTACTGGCTGTGTGATCCTGA